TGATTTTGGGCCCAGTCCCTGACTCTTAGACAGATCCACCTTACAGCGTTGGTGTGAGGATAAAATAGAGAAGAGCATTAATATCATTGTTGTATTACGTTGTATAAGCCACCTTGGGTTCCTTTGAAGAGGATAAAAGGTGAGCTATAAAAGGTGCAGTAATAAAAAGATAGTGTACTTACAGTTGAACATTTGGTTTAAAAGAATGTTGCTCTTTTGGAATTTAGCAAAAATGTAACTAAGGTATCTTAAAAGTATGCATTGTTTGCCTAAATACCTGGTATAATAGCAAAATCGCTAATGTAGTAGTTGTTAGTCGCAAAGTTGTGCCCGACCCATCGCGACCCCATGGACAACATTCCTCCAGGCCTTCCTGTCCTCCACCATCCCCCGGAGTCCACTCAAGCTCACACCAACTGCTTCAGTGATTCCATCCAGCCACCTCATCCTCTGCCGCCCCCTTCTTCTTTTGCCATCTATTGTTCCCAGCATTAGACTTTTCTCCAGGGAGTTCGTCCTTCTCATTAGGTGGCCAAAGTATTTGAGTTTCATCTTCAGCATCTGGCCTTCTAAAGAGCAGTCAGGGTTGATCTCTAGGACTGACCGGTTTGATCGCCTTGCTGTCCAAGGGACTCGCAGGAGTCTCTGCCAGCACCACATTAATTTGCTTCTATGAATTACCTTTTATAAAGTACCTTTGTGTCTTGTTGAGGTATAAATCATGAGCTGTTGTGCCTTTCTGTTAATTATATAATAATTTATGTTCATATAACTAACATGTTTGGGAGGGTTGCTAAGTTTTATATAGAGACAGAAGATAAAATTTAATTATGCCTTAGGTAAGCTCTCACTAGTGGAAATAAAGCCTGCATTTAATACCACATTTTTCACTAGTAATGAAATCTCAATGAAAAACATACCTACTGTGAAAACAAATACCTTAGAAAAGAGAAAACAAGGACCAGTAAAGTGGAAAACTATCCCATGTTAAAATTAAAGGAAAGCAATTGCCTCCTTTTTTCATATTTAACCTTTAGATTTTTTAAAAATCTTTTATTTCTAGTCAACTCCATTACATTTAGCAGCTGGCTACAACCGTATTAAGATCGTGCGGCGTCTGTTACAGCATGGAGCAGATGTACATGCTAAGGATAAGGGGTGAGTGTTATATCATTAAGTATACATTTCAGTAAAGTTTCAGGTCAGAAACACTCACTTTAGGAATTTTGAATTCTCAACGTGATAATTAAGGGAGCAATCCTGTGCACATTTAAATAAAAAAAAAAGTTCTATAATTCCTAGCATGCTCAGGCCAGCCAAAGTGGCACTTGGATTTTTTCTTCCAGCATATTGCACTTTGACCAAAATTTGTTTACTTCCTCACCTAATCCTGCAGTCACATTAAAACATTTAATTTTTATCATATGCCAAACAAATTCCACTGTCAACTGCTTGCTTTATAATTAGATTAACTGGATTAAAATCCTCAGGTTAAAAAGTAATACATAGGATTGTTCATTGACTTTAGTAAGAGTTCGTGGCTGTTGTTGCTGCCACAGGAATGTGGTATTGAACCCAAAATCCACACATACCCAGTTATATTAAGATTTTCTGTTGGATACAAATGATAAATACTTAATCTTTAAATTTCTTGAAGGACTGTATGTCATCTTGTAGTGCTTATGCATTTAATTACTGGGGTTTTTTTTTCTTTTTGTTCAGAGATCTTGTTCCTCTTCACAATGCGTGTTCATATGGTCACTATGAAGTAACAGAACTTCTAGTTAAGGTTAGTTTCTTAATTGCACACCACTTTTATGGGGCAGCTATTGTGATCATGTTTCATTTTCTATCCAGATCAGCTAGTTTTGTGTCTGTAAAAAGTATAGTACACAGTCCATTTTAAGTTTAATATGGTCATGCATGAAGTAAAATTGGACTGATTTTGTCTAGAAATTGAATTTGTGAAATGTCTTAAGGTGCTGGTTTATATATAATAGTGGCAAAATGGGTTAATTAATCTAAGACTTATCATGCTGTGTGTCTAGCACATTTTATGGTACATTTGAGTATTCAACTGATAGTTGAGCCATGGTTTTAACCACAATAAATCTGTAATGTCCAGGTTTGGATATCACATAACAATTCCTAATCAGGGATTGAATATTCACAAAGGTTGCAGAACACACCTGCCATATACAACAGTCAGTCATGGGTTAACTAAACTGCCCTGATGTTCATGGGCTTCTAACTTTGGTTCAGGCTTTGATATTTATAGACATATCTCAAGCAGACAATACAGATGTGATCACAGAAAACTATACAATAGAAAGGACAAGGGATTAATTATTACAGGGTGAAGATTCTGGACTGTTTCAAGTAAGTTAAGTAATTACATTGGCTGTTAAGACATCCCTGCCTTATAAGCTATAATGTTCCTAAAGGTATTTCTTGGGTGTAGAGTTCATATCCTAATACTGTGGTCTAAGGTTCAGTGTACATGTTTTGTCTTCAGCTGCCCTCAACTATGTATAACTAGTAGTCCCTGTTTAAATTAGTTTTTCCTCGTACAGTGTTAAGTGACTTATACCTTCCCTGTTACATTACTTCGTGGTATCTGTGCATCACACATGTGGGCTCTGCACATATGACACGCATTATGACACGCCATAGACATGCCTAGCATGAAGGCAGAGCTCCCGCCAAGGTCTCAGTTCTTCAACTGCCATCGTGAGCACATTGGGAAGTTTCTCCTCTATTTACCTCACAAGGTTGTTTGTCTCTCAGCTTCTCAGATTCCTGTATTATCGGGTTCTTCTCACTATTTATCTTCTTGCTGGAAGAAAGGAAGGAAGGAAGGAAGGAAAAAGCAAAAAATAGTATAATATTCTTGCCTCCTCCTTTCCCTTACTTTGCCTTCATCGAATAGACAAAATGGTGCTCAAAGCCCTGTTCTGCAATCATGCAGTATGTGGCAGTAAACTTCCTCCTACAAATGGCAACTCCCTGCCATTTCTGCCTGGAGGATCTCATGTCATCAATGTATGCTACCATTGCCGGGCTTTCACCAAACAGGCAAGAAAACATCAGGCAGACCTCCTAAAAGCCAAATTGTGGAGCAAGCTGTGCAGATGATGCCCAGCCATCGACCTCGGGCACTCCTATATCCTCCAATGCTGATGAAAACTTAAATCCTTCCCCATCAAGAGTACCCAAGGTGGGGAAGCAGAAGAAAGCAGACAAAAAGAGTGAGAGTCCATAATCACCCACCCTTACTAAAGAAGGAGAGCAGTAAATTTCCTCAGAAACACTCAAACATTCTTTCTATTACTGGCCTCCCACATATTGAAGACACTGTACTGACACAAGATTCAAGCTACCCTTCTGCCTGAAACTGATATAGGAACTTTGGTCTCAGCCTCTGCAAAGTATTTCAGTCTAGGAAGGTGAAATTCGCAGTCTGTCACCAGCAGTAATATTACGGCCAGAACCAGACTTGGTACAGAGACATGTCTCTTCTGTACCTTCTATTCTGAGTGTTTTCCTCCGTACCAATAGTAGGGAGACACTACTATTGCTCTCAATTTCCAGCCTCTGACAAGGAGAATTCCAGCAAGGAGAATTCACCCATGCCCCCATCACTAATGGACACCCCCCCCTCGACTTGCAGCGCATTCTAGATGCCTCCCTCAAAACTTTCTACTCGCAAATTGTACAATGCTGCATGAACAACGTTTTCTACATTTGCATGACAGCATGACCTCTCTCCATTTACAGCTTCTCCTGTCTGGATCCTTTTCTTTCTCAACTCGTTGTCTCACCTCATCTGCATTTATACAGTTGCTATTCCGGCTTTCCACACTCCAATCTAAGGCCAATCAACTTTCTCTCATTCAAAAACCTCTCAAGGGTATCTTTAATGTAGCCCCACCTGTCAACCTGCTCTGTCCTGGAGCCTTTCCATTGTCCTTCATGCTTGCACCAAGCCTTCATTTGAACCTATGGTTTTGACAGATCTCCACCTCCTCTCTTGGAAAACTGCCTTCTTGATAGTCATCAGCTCTGCCCCTCAAGCCAGTGAACTCACTGCTCTTATATCACCTTTCATAAGGACAAGGTCATACCTCTCCCTAAGCCTAATTTCCTACCTAAAGTAGCCTCGTCCTTTCCTATCAATGAGACCATTGACCTACCAGCTTTTTTTTAGAATCCTTCTAATCCCATAGAGCTGGCCCTCCATTTTCCAGATGTTTTAGGGCATTAGTTTTCTACAAATCCAGGACTCAACCCATCTGACAATCAGAGAGATTCTTTATTGTGTATGGTGGCCTACACCGAGGAATGCCTATTTCCTCCCAGAGGTTCTCTAAATGGATAGCCCTCACTATATTTCTGGTCTCTATCGGACTCTGTTAGTGCACATTCCACCAGAGCTTCTGATTTTCACAACCTTGTATGCAGGAGTGCCTCTCGCTGACTTCTGTTGAGTGATGACATTGTCAAATCCCTTGACCTTCATTCGCCAATATCATCTTGATGTTCAAGCTATTGAGGACGGCACATTCAGTAGAGCTATCTTCTCCTCTCTACTCTGCTGAGCAACACCATCCTTTTCCATGAGATGAACTTGTCAGTCACCCACATGTGATGCACAGAGAGACCATGAATAATGAAGGCATGCTTCCTTACTCATGACTGTTGTTCTTCAAGTGGTCATCTGTGCATTCACACATATCCACCCACCACCCTGCTGGTGTCATATACATATTTCTGACACGACATTGATATGTCTCCTGTTCAGACATTCATTTATTGGGCGGTCTCACACTACAACTGAGTTCTCAGCGGGAGCCCCGCCTTCATGCTAGGCATGTCTGTGGGCTGGCCTACCAAATACAGTGGTACCTCGGCTCACGAACAAATTGGGTCACGAACAACAATTACTGAAACATTTTTACTTGGGTTGTGGACACCACTTTGGGTGGTGACCAAGATTGCAGCCATCTGCCCCCCCCCCCCAGTGGGGGGATGGCCACGATCACAGTTCCATTCGTGCAGGGTAGGCGTCCGTGATCAGAGGCGTGCTGCTGCATTAAAGATGGGTGCAGCAAAGCAGAGCCACAAATCCGCTTGTCATTCGTGCAGCTGCACTAATGACTGCGATTGAGGTCATCTCTCCACCCCCAGCGCACCGTTTGCGCCCATCTCTCCTTCCCCCAGTGTGCCCGCGATCGCACCCGTCTCCCCCACCCCACCCCCCAGCATGCCAGGATGACGGGCGCCTGCAGGAATGACAGGCACGATCTCTGTTGTGCTGGGGAGGCGGGGAGATGGCCATGCCTGTGCTGGCGGGGGAGGGGGGAGATGGCTGCGATCTTTGTTGTTGTCACTTTGTTTCAATATTTTCTGATTTAAAAAATGGGTACAGAACGGATTAACCTTATTTACATTGTACCTTATGGGGAAATTTGACTTGGCTCTTGACCAATTTGGCTCACAACCAGAGTCCTGGAATGGATTAAGTTTGTGAGCCAAGGTACCACTGTAATTAATCAGTTTTGGAATCTTTCCAAAATAGCTCCATGCATGCACACAGATCCCACATGTGTGAATGCACAAGTGACCACTTGAAAAACAACAGTTACAGGTAAAGAAACCTGACTTTTTACTTTCTATTATTTAGGAGAAAATACTTACAGTTCCATTTCTTCTCCTAGCATGGAGCTTCTGTAAATGCGATGGATCTGTGGCAGTTCACTCCTCTACATGAAGCAGCTTCTAAGAACAGAGTGGAAGTATGTTCTCTCTTGCTGAGCTATGGTGCTGATCCTACATTGTTAAACTGCCATAATAAAAGTACAATAGACTTGGCCCCAACAGCTCAGTTAAAAGAACGACTGGCATGTAAGTACAAAAACAATAATATTGAATTAGAAAGATTGGATATGTTCCAATTTTCACTAGGGATTGATACATATTGCTGGTTTTGACAGCAGGTCATTATTTGTGATCTCCACTGTCCCATCTTCATCACCTGACATCTCTGGTAGGTTGAAAGTCAGAGACGAGACCCTGCGTCTCTCCCAAGGTGAAACCAGCTGATACATAGGAAAAATCTCTTAACTTCAAGCTATGGGATTCATCTCTTAATTCAGGTGACACTCAGATGACACCAAAGCACAATTCAAAAGTAGGCATAACTTCATGGAATTTGGGAAAACAGTTTTTAACTGTTAGAGGTTGATGGGTTCTGAGTTGTATGGGGGATCCACTCTTCAAAAATAGTGCTGGCTTTTCACTAACTGTAAATGGAAACAAGGACTCATTTGTCTCTTCATCAGAATGCAGCTGTAATTTTTTCAGAGGCCTCACAATACAGATCAATCATTTCATTGTCTAGACAGTCTTTGTTGAAAAACATTGATTGGGACTATACACAATTAAATGGGTACTAGTAAGATTTCGCAAACCAGAAAATAGTTAAATATCTAGTAGATCCCTCCTATTTTATTGCATAGAACCCAAGGCAATTTACACAGTCCTCTTAATTTTATCCTCACAACAGTTAGTGACTGGCCCAAAATCATGGCACAGCAGAGAGCAAAACTAGATCTCCTAAGTCCCAGACTGGTGTTCCAACTATTGTGCCAGGGATGATTTGAGGGATGATATTCTCTTCAAAAACTAGGCATGGTAGTTGCCTGTAAGGAATGCAGATTAAGGGAATGGACCTGCTGGGATGTCTGTAAGCCCCTGAAGAGAGGTTATGGCCACTGAATGCAGAGCAACTTGATGACGTTATCTGCATCTCCACATCTTCCAGAAGAGTAATTTCACAAGACAGGCTGTTTTCCCCTCTATTGGAAGCATCTCGGAAGGAATGAGTTCATTTTAAGGAAAAAAGTAGGATATAAATCTAATTGATAATATTAAGGCAGATGTGGTGAGGATACCTGATCGCATGGTCTCCCCAGTCTTTCTCCTATCTCCCCCCCCCCCCACCCCCGGGTCCACCTCTTGGAATTTGCTTTCCTGACCAAGGACAGCAGCTAGTGCTAACTGTGTAGGAGAGCGGGGTTGGAGTTCTGATTCCTAGCTCGCAAATTGGAGCTTGGTCCAAAAGAAAAACATCTGAATGCTTGTTGGAAAACAATGTACAGCAGCTTGAAAGAAATACTGTCCTAACAAAACCAAAATGTTCTTGTGATAATGTTTGAGATCATGAAACTTGTTTTCTCTTTTAGATGAATTCAAAGGTCATTCACTGCTACAGGCTGCAAGGGAATCTGATGTTGCTCGTGTAAAAAAACACCTCTCTCTTGAAATCATAAACTTCAAGCATCCTCAGACTCATGAAACTGCCTTGGTAATATGAACATATATTTTCAATTAATGTTTCATTGTGACTAAACTAAGCAAATGGAATTACATATCAGAATTGTTTAGGTGTTGTTTTCGAACACAGATGGAAATTGCTGACCTGTGATGCCTCAGATGAGGCCTCTCCCCACAGAAAAAGGAATGGACAATGATCTCTTGCTCCATTACCTTGCTCCTCCATCACTCACCATGCAGCAGTCTACTTCATTTCTTCCTTACAATCTCCATGTTGGAGAAAGCAGAGGAGTAAAGCTGGCACCTCAGTGGGCTTCACTTTGTCCCGGCATTCCCTTGTTAGGGGTCATACTCTTTTATGTCAGAGGGCAGAGCACATCCTTGACATTATCCAGCCTTGGGAGGTCAGAAGTAATCCAGGCCTCAGAGGTTCCTTGTCCCTGACTTTGGGGGGGAAATAGTATTGCTTCTTCTTGATTTTTCTTTATAGCTATACTAAAATTTCTGGATTTAGGGTTTCTCTCTTTGTCTGATGCCATTTGCTTCAGCCTTTCAGCTTTTCTCAGAAGAGATGTTTGGTGAGGAAGAAAATAAGATCTAAGGAAATGGTGTAGACTGGGTTGAACATCTTGTGACTGTACAAGTGTTTTGAACTGCAACTGCCACCATACCTCATTATCAGTTGTTCCAGCTAGGTCTGACAGGAGTTGTAGACCAAAAGGATCTAGTACACTAGTATCATTTCTCTCATAGCTTACCCTCCAGCAGTCACATGGGAATGGTGGATGTGGGCATCCTGCAGTCTCATTTATATTTACAGAAGTATTTGTTCCCTGTGACTTTTCCATATTTTATTGTGTTACAACTTGGAATCAAGCTTAATTTAATTGGTATTGTTTCCCCCTTGGTGTAAATAAAATACACAATAGTGTGAAGGTGCAAAATATTTTTTCTGGCACAAAAGTAAACAAAAATGAACTGGAGGAAGTGAGTTGTACCAGACCATGGTCCAGCATTCACCCCCTTTGCTGGCTAATGGTCTGGTTTGTAACCCACTTCCTCCAGATGCCACATAGATGCTTTAAGTATTTGAGTGGAGTCTACCAATATTGTATACCACCTAGGGAGCTCATTTGAGATGTTTGGCAACTTATAAATATAAAAATAAATAAAAAAATATGTGCTTCTGGTGCTACATGGTCTTAGATTAAATACACTTGCTTGTGGAAGGAAACAGAGCTTGTTGGAGAGTGCACCCAAACAAACTATCATGAAGGCCAAGGAGCTATCAAAAGAACTTGGGGATAAAATTGTGCAGATGAACCAGTTAAGGTTGAGTTGTTTAAAAATCTTCTAAATTGTTGAACATAATCCAAAACTCTATTAAGTCTATGGTTACAGAATGCAATGATAACTCTGAAATTGCTGGAGGGACTGGCAGCTGAAATAGGAGAAGCCCTTTATGGCACAGCTACCATCCACATGTTGATTACCTTGTGTACATCATAAAGTTGGGCTTTATGAGAGAGTGGTGAGAAGTAAGGCATGTGGAAGATAAGCAAACATGGAAAGGGGGTTTCTAATCTGACAAGACCAAAATAGAGCTTTTTGACCTTACTGCAAAATAAGGAAAGCATCCAAAGCATGGATATAGGGATGGATATAGAGTTAAATGTTGAAAAAAAAACCTGGCTTTTTAAGTTAGGGCTTTAAACGCATATGTATAAGAGGCATGATAGAATAAAATAAGTGATTCAGCAGTAGTTAAATTATAGGGATTTAATTAATTAATTTTGAATATTTTATTTTTGTTACTTCTGCACAAGCTGATCTCTGGTTAAAGCTGTGGCTGCTATTCTCAGGATAAGTTGGAGGCATTAAATGTTACAGATACTATTTTTCTGGTATTCATGAGGAAAATACAAAGCTTTCTGAAAGAACATATTTCTGAACACTCTGTGCACACATGTATGTAATTAGTTTCACACAAAATGGCAGCCAGTCGTTGGGGATGGTTGTGTTGCACAAACTATAATGGTTACCAACTATTTATTCTTACCACAGTTAGTGAAGATATGTGAATCAGTAGTCTGTTCTAAGGTTTGTTCAGATTGTCATGTCATCTGAACCCAGCCTATGTGATGCTTTATGGGTCAAGCCCCAGAAGAAAATAGTCTCTTGGCAAGAGTGATGAAATTAGCTTGCTGCTTTTTTCAAGTGGCTAACCAGTGAGTGCAACTGACAGCTGCTCTCAGGTGGTACACTGGGACATTTGCCAAAATCTTTCCCTGTTGTCCACCCCCTCTGTAAGCCATTTGTAGCTGGTGGCTGAGGAAAAGCTCCCAGCATCTGTCAAGTAAGAGTCTCTGATAGTTGGCCTTAAAGTGCCAACTTTCAGTTGGAAACTGCTGTAAGAGTTTTCCCAATGTTTGTTGTATGCTGCTGCCCTGAACCCCGACAGTCCTTACGGCAGCAATGCACAGCAGTGATTGCTGCCCCTGATTGTAACTATCTGTTGGGGCTTGTGATGTATAGTCACAATGGCAACAAGGGTGCATCCCTGTAACCAGTTGGAGAGATCTCCTCTCAAAGTCAGCAGCAGTAATTTGCCCCACTGCTGCAGTGGAAAAGGGTTCATATTGGTGACAGAGGACAAAGGTTGGTTGGTCAATCACAAGTTGACTTACCCAACCTATGGTCCAGGTTAACCCCATTAGGTTCAGAGAATGAGCTATGTTTGTTTATTGGGGATAAATAAGGTTTTTTAAAAATATATCCCTATTTGTCCCTGGTGCACAAACAGGGACAAGTTGCCTGAAGTGCACTGGGGGCCAACTGAAAAAAAAAATGTTGGGGGGATAACTTCCTGCATATAAAGGTTTTTTTAATGCTGTGTAGGCTCAAGGGTGCCTCTGGGCACATTGAAAGGGCAGTTTCTGCCTGCTCTTTAAGGAAGTCACAGCTAGGCCAGCTTTCACAATCTTGGGGAAAAGAAAGGTTTAAAAGACAGCTGTGACAAGCCAAAATCAGCTCATGATGATAACTGTGAGGGAGAGGGCACCTTTTCTGTTCAGCGTTCTCTGGGATGTTGACAAGAGGAACAATGGGGAAGGAGTGGATGAGGCACCCACAATGAGCCCTATTGTCGTCATGGTTTCTTCGTGGATTGAACCCGTTGTGGAAAATTGGTTTAACATTGGGTGAAACAGCCTGGTGTGAGTGTGAGCAAGATTGTAAAAAAATGAATCTAAGCTCATGTCAGCAAGAAAGTTGCACTATGAAATACTTTTTCCTCAGCAGAATTGATTAACATAATTATATGGCCATAAGTCAGATTTCTTGGAATGCTGTCGCATCATGGTGCATTAAGTATTCAGTCAAAGCCTTATCATTTAGACTTCCACCCAGTAACATTCCAGCACAAAATACTAATGGGTCTGAAACTGTCTTTATGACCACCATTCATTCTTTTCAAGGAGGCCCTCCTTGTATTTCTCTCTGTTGGTGCATCTGATAAAAGGCCAGGCTGGTTAAAACCCTTGTGATTGAATTGCCAATTTATATGATTCAGAGTAGTCCTCTGTATTCTTGGTGACCCTTTTACATTCTCCAAGTATTCAATTTTATCATTTTGTGAATCTGACCTGGTCACACTGGATATTACTGCGGCATGTCTTTGTTATTGGTGTGAAGAGCAGGATTTGCTGGTCTTTCTGGCAAACCCAGCTCTTCCTCTTCCAAATACCTCATGGGCAGCCATGAACCAGACTTTGGATCAGAGGACCTTATTCTGGGAGTGAAAGTGCAATTTTACTTAAAAGTTGATTAATCTCTGCAGTAATCTCTACTGTGACTGGATTAAGTGATATGTCCAGCTCCATTCCAGTGCTTTCTAGAGCCTCTCCTTCTCTGTTCCTATTTCAAATAACTGAATGTGGTAAACAGCCCTATCAGTATTCTTTTTGTTTATGATACATCTACCTAGCCCCAACTAGATATTAATCAAAGGGTCTTTCTGGATATCCTGTTTCAGCACAGTATGAGCCTCAGCCTCTACAGAAAGGACACAAGAAACCCAAGAGGTATCTGATGGTGTTTTCTCTACATCATTGGAAATTACTTTCCCTTTATCTGATGCTTGTAAACCATCCAGTTCCTTTAAATTATGTTTGCAATTATCAGTTTTAGTGGAGAAACAGATTTTTTTGAGAATCATCCAAGTTGATTAAATTATTAGCATTACTAGCCTCGCCTATTGGAGTACTTTTAAGACAGGGGTCCTCAAGTTTTTCCACCAGGAGGCCAGTTGAAAGCTGCCGGTTCTGGATGTGGGCCAGAAAGGTGGTGCCAGTGGTGTGCGTGGGCCAGGGCAGGGGTGGCGTGCGGGGGCAGGGTGTGCAAGGAGGCAAGGTGAGGCAAGGTATGGGTGGGTGGGTGTCCCAGGTGAGGTGGGGGTGGGCATGCACCGCAGGGTGGGTGTATGAGGTCAGGGCTTGCTCGCTTGGAGGTGGTTTTCTCTGAGCAAGCAAACCGCTCCCTCCCCGTGTGCGGGGCGAGATGGGCAGCAGTGGGTGCACGCTTGGTGCGTGCGCATATGCAGCAGATCCAAATGAGCATGGCGGGCTGGATCTGACCCCTAGGCCGTAGTTTGAGGACCCATGTTTTAAGATGTCTGTTTAATTGAGCACTAATAGCCTGAGGTGTAGCTGCATTTTCAAAATACCTTGATACAGGCATAGCATTTTTAGTAAGGATGTCCCTATTACAAAATAGCCAAGCAGCTAAGTCCTATTTTGGAGAATAACCACCACACTGTGGTGCACTGAAGCCTTTACAATATATATTCCACATAAGCTACATCTAAAGTAAGGACACCTGGATATACAATATTTAAAATATGTAAAAGGTATGATTTGTGCTCATTCTGCCTCAGAAATCCCTTTAATTTTGGGTAATGATAAAGGACTAACGTTTGCCAATTTAGTACTAAATTTAGCTATTACTTGCAGTCTTTCTCAGACCTGGCTCTGGCCTAAGGGGAGAAAATGATCATGGGTCTTGCACTGCTGAATGCAGGAATGCTCATGATCTCGCCATAGATGAAGACAACACAAGCCATACTGTATGTTCAGTTGTAACTTTATGAATTTTTATTTTATTCTCAACCTCCTGTGCCTTCTATTGTACTTTCTGTTTAGAACGATTGTCAGGTAATTTTAAAAGTTTCTTAAATTCCATTTTCTTATAGCAAGGGCCCTTTAAATTTTTGATGTTCCCAGTCTTTAGTTTGTAACGGTTCATTTCCCTTGCCTCTGTTCAATACATCTTTCTCTTCTTTCTGTCTACTACCATTTGATTATAAGTTTCTTCTTTCCTTGGGAATGCATTGTTTGCTAAACTGTCGTCAGTATCATAGCCAGGTTTTTTATATGGCTCCATAAGTATAGACAGTAAATCACTACAAACAGACAAATAGGATTCAATGTATTTTGTTACCAGAGAAAGCCGCCCTTTAATTAGAAGACTGTCTCCTTTAGTTATCTCACTGTGACAGGAGGATCTATCCTTATTTACTATTTCATCTGACGTGGTACGAACAAACTTGGAAAGTTGTTTAGGTATCAACTCATTTAGTGTAACATCTTTTTCTGAGAATTGTGGAATTCCCTGAAGATGTATTTGTCCCATTGTGGTATGGCTCACTGTACAGGCTCCAGAGGTGTAATTGCCTGGGCAAAGTAAGTCACTGGTTGTGTGAGGTCTATAGGTTCAGACACTTCAGCTTGATATAACTCTGCTGCCACACTAACAAAGGTGGATCCTCCAGTGAATTTTTATGGCCTTGGATACCTGGGGGCAAAGGTCCAGTCTAGTGTGGAATTTATGATATATGAAAACTCCACTTCATCCACCTTGTCTTCCACTGTTGGTGTAAGGAATTGTGTAATTTTGTCTGATTTTCCCCGCCATTTAAAGGAATATTCTTAACAATAGGTGTAATCCTCAGGTTCTGTTAACCGTTCTAGTTAGCATAATTTCTAACTGGTATAAGAACAAACAAGTTACTGCTTCTCTGGCTGCAACAACAATAGGTACTTCCACTTTTACTGTTTTAGGCTGCTATTTCATAACTTTATAGTCTCTCTGCTGACAATTATTTGTTTCTTAGCCTTCTTCCACAATACTTGTCAGACTTACCAGAGTTTTGGTCTTCAGCTCATAACCAGAATTAACATTTTTCCTTGTGGCTGCTGAGTATAACCAAGCATGGTTGTATATAACTATTCCAGGGTTCCAGCAGTTCCACTCCAGGAGCAGAAGAGCAGTGTCAGATAAGAAATTCAGCAGGAATCCAGTCATTTCAAGTGAACAACTGAAACAAAACACTGCAAAGCCAATGCAGAAAAGTGCCATGCAGCTTTCCTAGATGCCATTTCCCCCCATCTTGATAGTCATGTGTTCCCTTTTATTTATACTTTCTTTGTGCCACTTAATGTTTTGAAATTTCCAGAATATACTGTACCTCATTTTATTAAATTCAGTTAGATTTTTAAAGCAATCCATATATATCTTACATGCAGTATTTCCCAGTAATGGTTTGGTGTTCAGCTCTTTTCCCAGTAATGTAGCTCCAAGTGTTGGAATTTCACTGATCTATATCTCTGATGCAAAGCTAATCAGCAAATAATGAAAAGATGTTATTATTTTAATAGCACTGTGCTGCTGCATCACCATATCCCAAAAGAAAGCAAGTCTGTGAGCTACTTCTAAGAAAAGGAGCCAACGTCAATGAAAAGACAAAAGAGTGAGTTCCCATTTCACTTTTTCTTCATGGAACTCAGGGTGGCAGATACAGCTTATATTCCCACCATTCATTTCATTCTTACAGCAACCCCCTACAGTAGATAGGACAGATTGATTTGTACAAGTCAAAGAATTCCAGAGCTAAGCAGAGGGTTGAACCATAATCTTCCTGTCCGTAGTCTGATCTTCCATCCATTGCTCTTGTGTTAACTATCAATACTCAGTCCAAGAAAACTAAATGGAAATTGTATTGTGTGTTTTTATAAAGCTTCCTCACACCTCTGCATGTGGCATCAGAAAAAGCTCATAATGATGTTGTTGAAGTACTTATGAAACATGAAGCAAAGGTATGAATTATTTTTAGTATAATTGGACATAATTCCATATATAATGAAAAAATATTATATAATTGTTGTTTTTGCTATCAAATAGAGAGTGAAAGGATGATTGACAGCTTTGATAGCTGATCCATGTTTAAAAATGGGAATCAGAAGATAGTTGTGGGAGCGAAAATGTTAGAAATTAGTTGCAGTTATAAAATAGCTTTTTGTGGCCCCACTACAATAAATTATTTTAAAAGGTGCCGTATTCTATATTTCTTGTTTGAAACTGCCTGTTCAAGATTCTATATCATGATGCTTCCTAGGTCAACGCCTTAGATAATCTTGGGCAGACATCTCTGCATAGAGCAGCGTATTGTGGTCATCTTCAGACTTGCCGGCTGTTGTTGAGCTTTGGCTGTGATCCATCGATTATATCTCTGCAGGGTTTCACAGCCTTTCAGATGGGAAATGAGAGTATTCAGCAGTTATTGCAAGGTAGTACAGTTTCATGTTTTTTCATTTCAAGTTTTCTGCTTTATCTCTGACATTGACTATTTCAGTTATCCTGTTCTTATAGTGATATTCTTCAACAATATGGGGACATTTTCATGAACGATATGTAAAGTGAAACACTGCAAAATTATTGCAAGCTAACAAGGAGAAACATAACACACGTCTTTTATTTGGTCTATGTAACTTTCAGTTAATCCAGTTTTCTTTACAGACATGAGACAGTTACTCTTTAAATACAGTACAACATGAATAATGGAAAATCTGAAAGGGAGGGCATAGAGACAGTGTGAAAAGGTTTGCTGTTTGTACCAAATGGGAAAATGGCTCTAAAAATTTTAAGAAAGCAAACTCTCAGATGTTGGGATTTGAAATTTGAGTAGATTTGGTAGATCCAGTCAGATTGCAAATAGGTTTTATAGATTGGAAACTTAACCTGGTGTTTCCAGTGTTAATCATATTCTGAGTATTCATGTAAATGACCAATTATTGTTTTGTCTTTTTGCTATATAAAGTTATTTTTCCCCATCTCTTACAGAAGGTGTCCCATTGGGCAACTCAGAGGCAGATCGGCAATTATTAGAAGCTGCAAAGGCAGGAGAGATGGATGTAGTAAAAGTAAGATAAAATTTGTATTTTCGTGTTCTGTTTGTGGTCTCAGGGTGGTTTGTCTAGAAGTTCACTATTAAGTCTTGAGAAATAAGAGAATGTTGAAAAAGAAAGCACAACTTACCTTGATTAGTGGATAGGAAGGGCTATGGGGGCAGTGCTCATCTCTGTTTCAAAGGCCATGAGCCCATGCTGTCCAAAGACATTCCCATGATCATGTGGCCAGCAAGATGTCATGGGGCGCTGTTACTAGAAAAGACTATATTAAAAATAATTTTGAAATCCCCATGTCCCATTCTTTGCCAACTCAGCCACTGGAATATTACAGTACAAGAATGGTACAGGAAGTAATAAAATATAGGCAGTTTACCAATGGATTACCAATGAGTTCCATTTCTGAGAAAACAAATTCATCTTTAAGTCAAATATGTATTTAAGTTAGATCATGTATTGGGAGCCCTTCACATTCCCAGGCGTTAGGGGTGCAGGACCCCCATGAAAGTGGAAAAACCACATCTCTATACCACCACCCCAAACTTACTGGTGTAGCAAGGAAATGGAGCAAGGAAATGCTGGGGAGATTTCCCTCTCTGCATGGGTGGGACAGGAAGGCATGCTTTGAGGCCTCCTCTCACCTTTTGCTTCTCCTCTCTATGGTGATGAATTTCCTCAGTAATTTTAAAAATGAATTGGCTTTGTGGCAGCTCGCTCAATAAGTACTGGTGTTTGTTCATAACTCTGATGTTTGCAACTCAGAGGTTGCCTGTACACAAAACATGGTGCACAAAAGACATAAATTAAACTCTAGCTGTAGAAGTGCAAATGTAGCTGAGTAAAAACTTATTGTAGAATTAAATATTAAAATACCTAGATTTGGGTTGATACATATAGAACATGAACTTTTACCCATTTATATGTGTAAAACAGTTTTGTTTCTTCAGCAGTACAAACTACAATTACAGTTTTGTCATCTACATATTCATTAATGTGAAACAGTAGTGTCTCTGTTGGAGAGACAATGATTTTAATTTATTCATTCTCTTCATGATGTTCACATGCCCCCCGAAAATCAGTGGTAAACTTCAAGAAAGAAGGAAATGGGTGAAAATAATCTCTTCCTCTTTCCATTTGCAGGAGCCTTTGAGCAGACATTTGTTCAAACAGAAGTAACTTTGAATTGAACCCATTGCAAGGGAAACCTGGCCATTTTGCTAACAGCGTAAATTGAATTTTAATGTCATGACCCTATTGGGGGGATGCGAGTAGTGTTTTGTACATTCCTGTATTATTTTAGTACAGTTATTTCTGCCTTTTTTCCTTTCAAGGAACTCAAGGTGGTTTACATAATTCTTTCAATTTCATCTTCACAGCAACAACACTGTGAGGTAGATTGGACTAAGAGTCTGTGACTGGCCCAAAGTCACCCAGTTAGCTCCATGTTTGGGAGGTGCCTAGAACCCAGATCTCCTGAGTCCCAGTCCCTCACACTTAACTACTAGGTGAAGCTCTCTTAATAGTTCATAACAATACATAAAACCACAGGTCACAAATAGAATAAAGTATTGCTTAATTATTTCAATATACAAAGTGTGAAAACAGATGAAGTTGCTGCTTTGACCACTTCTGCGAAATTCCTCCCTAAATTTAAAGAGCTATACTGAAGTATCATTTGGTCACATACGCTGTGCTGTGCTGTGTTCCCAAAAGGATTGTAATTCAGCTACAGGTGTTCTAGGATTACCTGGTTTTAAATCTGATTCAGAGCAGAATCAGCCTTGGTAACTCTGGTAGGTAGCTTCTTTAGAAGAGAAACAACTTCTTGAGCTCTCATGCACTCTTGATACCAGTGATCATGATGTCTTTCTTGACCATTTGTTTAGGTTAGGGTATGGAGCACCATTTTACAATGGTTTAACTTTTAGTTACAGAGTTCATTCCAAAGGATAATACTGGGTGACTAAAGCTTGGTCACTGGCAGTTTAACTGTGGGCTGTCGCAGCATTGGGTTGTATATGAAGTGATCAGTATGAGATTTGGGGCAGCCATTGGTATGCTGATGACACATAGCACTATTTGTTTGAGAGGCTGTGCACATTCTGAACTTGTGTCTAGAAGTAGTGATGGGCTTGATGAAGTGTGCACATTATTCGTGCATTGTGTCTGTACTCTATTTGGTCATTAGGCAGTAAGTCTCAAGTTCATCTGTTTACATAGGCATATACGTCTCATCCAAAGGCGCTCGCTTGGGTATTTGCAAATAATTATAATCTATATTATTTAATTTAAGTATTAATGTCAATAATATTATTTATATTTAATTATATATTAATATTATTTTATAATTGAATACATCCATTGTGTGTTGCAATGGACATACTATATACATCCATTTGGCTGATGATCTTAAGTGGGGCTCATTTTTGGGGTAGGGCTTATATTACGAGCATCCTGAAAAATCATGCTATGGCTTATTTTCTGGTTAGGTCTTATTTTCGGGGAAATACGATAGTACAGAATGCAGCAACTACCATGTTTACCTGAAAATAAGACTGGGTCCTATATTGATTTTTGCTCCAAAAGATGCACAAGGGCTTATTTTCAAGTGATGTATTTTTTCATGTATAACAATCTACATTTATTCAAAAACAGTCATGTCATGTTCTTCTGGAACATCGTCATAACTCTCCAAACCCCAAATTGTGTTGCAATGGATGTACTAAATATGTCTGTCTGGATGATGATCTTAACTGGGGCTTATTTTTGGGGAAGGGCTTATATTACGAGCATCCTGAAAAATCATGCTAGGGCTTATTTTCCGTTTAGGGCTTATTTTCAGGGAAACAGGGTAGCGTGGTTAGTGGGACGCACAGTCATGTTAGCAATAAATCCATGTTTGAAAAAATAACCTGCACTGGCTGCCTGTTAAACCGGTCCATGTTCAGTGTTATGTTGTGGAAGCACTTGGTGCCAGGAAACAGAGACTGCCCTCTCTAGTACATATATCCAAATGGCCATTTAAGCTCTTCAGAAGAGGCCTTGCTGTTCATTCTGCAACCAACAGAATGTTGCCACAAAATATCTCAGGCTGGACCTTCTGTACATCACTTACTGGAAAGCTCCCCACCACCTGTAGTTAAAAACACAGAACATGCAGTATATTTTAATAGTGCCTGAAAACATACTTGTTCACCCCACTTTCTCTAGATTATAATTAATGAACCTTGATTATGATTAATGAAGTATAATTAATCACATACTGCTTCTAACTGTTCCTTGTTTAGCTTTTATTACTGTTGTAATTGTTATTTTTTCTACTTATCCGATAATATGCATCACACTTGCTGTGTTCCACAGAAGTTATGCACAGTACAGAGTGTAAACTGTCGGGATATTGAAGGGCGTCAGTCCACACCGCTTCACTTTGCAGCAGGATACAATAGAGTGTCCGTGGTTGAGTATCTTCTGCAGCATGGTGCTGATGTTCATGCAAAAGACAAAGGGTAAACATTCCATTTTGTTGCTTTTGGTTTTGCATATGCTGAACTGAAATGGGTAGGCGATGGGGAGTTGAATTCCTAGACTTTACAGTTTTTGTTTGAAGGAGCATATGGTTTTGTGTGGCTCATACCTTACCAAATGTTGCTAACCTCTTGACAAAAAAATACTATTGGAGGTGGATGTTAGGGGCTGGGATATGAGCTGCAGGAGGACAATGCAGAGGGACCAGCACCCAAGGGCAACAGAACTTGAGGTGAGACAGAGTCTAAAGTCCAGAAGTAAGGTTTAATGGCAAGTCCACATCATAGGCACAGAGCAGGCCAGGGGCAGGAATCAGAAGTACATAACAGGGCAGAACAAGGATGTGGTCACGAACGAGCCAAGGGTCAAGAACAGGAAGACAAACAGAGTTTCAGGTACCGTGAGGCAGAACCACCAGGCACAATACATGGCAAGGGAAAATACATGGCAAGGCAGAATACAAGAGGAACCAAATCTGCGAGCATCAGGCATCATGCAGGAGCTGAACCACACCACAGCTGGCAAGAAGACCCAGGTTGTTGAGGTGAGACAGCTGGGCAGGACACAGGTCAGGCACTACAGCAAGCAGGAAAGCCTGTGATGCTGAGGCCAATTCTGGAGGGAGGAGCTTTCTTTTATGTAGTTCTTATCCCAGTGTTCCCAGCTGGTGCTCATCAGGAGGCTGAGAGTTCCAGCAGGGCGTGGGATGGATCCTGTGAATACTGTGGTGGTTGTTCTGGTTCTGGCACCAGAGCAGCCCAGATCCTGACAGTGGAGGAGACATTCATGATATTCTTTAGTGCCATTTATTTATTTATTTAAAACATTTTTATGCCGCCCCCATCGCAACAAAGCCTTGGGGCGGCTTACAACAAAAACAAAAAATATACAAAATTATACAGAAACAAAGTTATACACTAAAAATATTAAAACCCGGTGCATCTCGGCTTAACAATTTTAAAATCCTACACAATAAATTAACACTTAAAATAAGTTTTAAATAAAAAGGTCTTAGCCCGGCACCGAGAAATTTACCAAATTTATTGGTAGAAAAATTAATTGGATGAACATCCATACTAATGCACAGGTTAGGCTCTACATAAAGCAAAGTTAGAGGGTCATCTTCCTTCCTTGGACCCACACCTTCCATATGCCGTGCTCTGTGATGCTACATGTATTCTACTACTTTGTTACTATGTAGTCACAAGAAGCTTAATTGGAGTGGCTGATATCAGCATTAGAAATTGCATGATATAATTGTACAATCATCGTGCAATCTTGCATAATTGAGATCTTGTATAATAGGACGACATACAAAAGCTTTTAATAAATACATACATGTACATAAATACATACATAAATAAAATACTTGTAAACTATTCTTAAGAAATTTACATCCTCTATAATGTAACTAGAGCGCATTTCAGCAAAAAGCATCTTGATGACTGAATTGTTTTATCTATCTGCAAACTCAAATTGGGTGGCGTTTAATACTGCCACTACTCTCCAAACTCATAGCTTTGCACCAGCTGGACACAGGGTAACAGGGAGTTAGATTTCCCTAAACTAACTGTGGAAACTTAAAATTTCTAAGATTGCTTTTAGAATCATAGAATACTAGAATTGGAAGGGGCCATGAAGGCCATCAGGTCCAACCCCCTGCAGCTGCAGAACAATTTACACCATCCCACTCAGATTGAGTGTAAGTCCTTGTACTACCAATAGGTCCTTGTGGCACTGCTTCTGATTTTTTCCTTAGAAGTTCTGGAAGATTTTGGTTCTCTCAACCATTATACGTACTATGTGGACTAGTCAGAAGAAAAAAATTACATTTAAAAATCCTGAAAAGGTTAGAATTAAGATTTTCTGCTGGTAAAATAATACAGATACCAACTCTTACTGATGAGTGTTTCCATAATATTTACAGAGGCCTTGTCCCTTTGCACAATGCTTGTTCATATGGACACTATGAAGTTGCTGAATTACTTGTTAAACATGGTGCAGTTGTCAATGTAGCAGATATCTGGAAATTCACTCCTTTACATGAAGCTGCTGCCAAAGGAAAATATGAGATTTGTAAACTTCTGCTACAGGTATGTCTCATGTGAAGCTGAAATGTGTGGCATGTATATTCTTAATCATTTCATTTCTACTGGGCAGGCTAAAATATAAGCAAAAGCTCAGTATGTTTTTTTATTTTGCATGATTTCTTATGTTGCAGAAATGAATGTGTATTTTTTCCAATTTCTCATTCATGTAGCATGGAGCTGACCCCACAAAGAAAAACAGAGATGGGAATACACCATTAGATCTTGTTAAAGATGGTGACACAGATATTCAAGACCTACTTAGAGGAGATGCAGCTTTACTAGATGCTGCAAAGAAAGGATGTTTGGCCCGGGTGAAGAAGTTATGTTCCCCCGATAATGTAAATTGTCGTGATACACAAGGTCGACATTCCACTCCACTCCACTTAGCAGGTCAGTATCCTTTCATTCTTTGTCATGGTCTCTGTGCATCACATGGGTGCTCCACCTGCGCAGTGCCTATTTGCAGCAAGATTCTCTCAGCTATAATGGTTTTTGGTGGGAACTCCTCCCTCCTCCCCTGCTATAGATAGGTGAAGTCCCCACCTTCTTGCCAGTCACTGTGCCTCAGGTTGATGCATTTATTAGGTCTTAATAGTTGACAGGGTGGGGAAACTATTATAATTGTTATAGAATTGCTCTGCGCAAGAACCACAGCCTCAATTGAGGACTTTGCAGTACAACATACTATTTAAATCATTGTAATGGGTCTTAGTAAAATAATAGTGGTGAACAGTAACTGTGAATGTATAAGTCTAGTTTCTGGTGTATTTCAACCTTTTACACACAATAATAGTGTGTGTATGATCACACACACAGGATCAGCTCATAGCCCATTATTTGTCTACTTTGGTAGGCTGCAACTTCTCTGCGCCTGGGACAGAGATCTTTACCAAATATCTGCTTGTTGTTTCTATTGGAAAAACAATAGATGAATCTGGAATTGTTTTATGCAAAGCATAAGTTTTATCATTGAAACATGGCTCTCCAGTCTTAAAGCTGTTCAAGATGGTTGTGTGCATACAGTTGTTCGTATGCAGGCATACAAATGGGCAATTTAAAAATGATATCACATCAGAAATCTGTAGTTGAGGAAAGCTGAAAGGAAACTGGATGATTAGTTTTCATAGTAACTCATTCAGCTGTTCTCCTGTTATAATTAAACATGCTTGTGTTTGTCTTGTTATCTGCTAGCTGGCTACAACAATTTGGAGGTTGCTGAATACCTGTTAGAGCATGGAGCAGATGTAAATGCACAAGACAAAGGGGGTCTAATTCCTCTACATAATGCAGCATCTTATGGGGTAAGCAACTCAAAAGTCTTTTGAACTTTATATTATGTGTTAATTTACATTTTGGAACTTAGAATCAATGGCTGCCACTTCACCAGCCATAAAATATACATTGCATTTTCTATATGTTTGCCATTGATACCATTGCCATTGAAAATTTAAATCTGTTAAATGGGGAAGGTGGGAAAGAACAATCCCTTCACTCCCAGAAGAGCTTGCAATTGATTCTGAGAAAGAGGTGTTGGAAGCAGTCTTGTCCTATATTTCTAGCTTCTTCCAAAGGTAATTTCTAGTGAAACAATAAGTAAATAGTGTACTACTCTCAAATGAACATTTGTTTTGATATAATGTACTTTGCAACATTAACTTCTTGGAAATCCAAAGGCAAGTTACAGGGAAGCCTTTTTTCTGGAGAATTGCATTACATAAATGTATTTTATTTTCCAGCATGTAGATGTAGCAGCTTTACTTATAAAGTATAATGCATGTGTAAATGCTACGGACAAATGGGCTTTCACACCTTTGCATGAAGCAGCCCAGAAAGGAAGGACACAGCTTTGTGCCTTATTGTTGGCACATGGAGCTGATCCTACTCTGAAAAACCAGGAAGGACAAACACCATTAGACCTAGTTACCGTAAGTGATGGGATTTTTTTGAGAAGTTTGTATAAAGTTTCAGTTCCTGGCTGCTGATTGGGACATCAAATTTAAAAATTTTAAAACTTAACTGTGGTGGGTTACAAGCAAAACAGATTGAGGAGTTCCTCAAATCTTCCTGAAGCTGGAAGAAAGAAATTCAGGTATAGGCTTTGTAAATAAATTATTCTAAGTGGAAATAAGCATTTAGATATATTATAGGATGTGTGCTCATTTATTTACTTGAACTTGGGAACTTACCCCCCAACATACCCCCCTTTTTTGGTAGTTCATAGCATTTTCTAATTCAGTGAAAAACCCTGCTGATAAAAGTACTATTGGCTTGCTCAATTCATAACTCAGTCACATACAGCATGCTAGCCAAGTCAGTGACTCCAGAAGCAGAAGTTGTAATCCTCTAACCTGTCCAGAGAGACTTTTTGGCTAATGGAATGGGATATAAATCCAGTCAATACCAGACTGCAGTATTTGTTGGGCCCCAAATGGGATGGATCCAGCAGTGTCCTCCCACTGGCATTACTGTTACACTAATGCTTGCAAAGTGTTAGTAGTGCTTGCTAGTGTGATAGATATCACAGGCCTTGCTCGGGATGCTAGCAGATGCTATTGACATAACTCACTGGTTTTTATTAGTGCAAAAGCAACTGTTGATCACTGTTGCAGCCTTTCCTTTGACTAGTGATCCTCCAAGTTAATAGAGGCAAAACAATTCGAAGATTTAAATTTTAAAATTATTTTAAAATTCAAATGTGTGGAATTAAATGTATAACAAAGTTAAATGACATCTTTTCAGTATATTATTTTGTATCACATTTAATCCGCAAAAGTTCTTCTAGAGACATGAAATGATTATTGTGGCTTGTGCTTTTGTGGCAAGAGATTATTTCATCAAATGCCTTTAATATATTCCTAGTAACAGACTGGTATGGCTAATCTGCTGTAAATACCTTATAAGTAAACAAATTCATCTAGATCCAAAAATAAGATTTCTTATTCAGTATGATATTAAAGGTAATATCAAAAATCAAATATCCACTGTTGCTTTAGGAGTTTGGATATGATTCTCTTAATACAGTACTACATAGATCTACTCAGAACTAAATTGCATTGCTTTAAATAGGATATTTTCCTAGGAAAGTGGATAGCAATAATTCTGCTGTAGAATAGTATCTGCAGCAGAAAAAATATATTGGTCATTTAACCATTCCAGTGTGATTGTGAGGTAGGTTAGGCTGAAGCGAAAGTGATTTTGCGGAGGCTTTGGGCAAAGAACCATTCTACCTGAGGATTTAAACCTGTATCTCTGACATTTAAAGCTAAAGCATGAAGCGCTGTGCATCAGTCCTTGCACTAGAATTTCTATTCACAAAACAGTCTCTGGATTAGCATGATGATATGTCTAAAGTTATTTTATAAATGGCAAAATATTAAGAGACTTCCTAAATTCTACTGTCCTTTTAGGAGAGCTAAAGTAAAATACCACTGTTAACCTTGTTTTCTGTTCTTAAATAGCAACTTGTGAGTTGTTCAGATGTGTTTGTGAATGTTCTGATACACTTTTTTTTACACTTTCAGGCTGATGATGTTAGTGCATTATTGACTGCTGCCATGCCACCTTCTGCCTTGCCATCATGTTACAAACCTCAGGTTATAAATGTGTCCCAAACTACATCTTCACCTGATCCACTTTCTCCAGTTCCATCCAGCCCACGTAATCCATCAGCAGCCAGTAGCCTTGACAACTTGTCTTGTAGCTTTTCTGAACTCTCAATTAGTACAAGTAGTTCTGATGGGGCCACAGGTTTGGAGAAGAAGGAAGGTGAGACTTGCTGCTCCTATTGGTTTAGTCAAGGGTAGAGAACTTGATTGACTTAAAGACCAAATATAGCACTTGGATTCCCCAGAAGGCCACTTTGCCTTTTCCCTGACCACTGGTCACACTTATTTTCTCAGCTTTTGCATAAGTTTCCCCCTATTCTGAAAGATTGATGAGCTTCTCCTAAGCTTCAGGAATAAAAGCTTTCAGCTAAAATATGCTGCTTTATTTTGTATTTTTGCCCCTAGCCCTTTTTTCTTCAGCTCTCTCTACTTTGAAATGGGTCCCCAGAATGTTTCCTTGAAATGGAATTCAGCCATGGACTGAAAGAGGTTCATCATGTCTTGGCCTAGTCAGAAGACCGATTCTCTGTTAAGACACAGAAATGATAGTTGAAGTATTCAGCTCAATAAAATACTTGTATGTGTGACTTGGAACTTAGATAAATGTGTCCAGAAATTCTCTCTTCAGATTTTAATATCTTCATACTGTGGATTTTTGGAGTATATTTTTTCTCAGCATTTTAATATGGCAGAAAGAAAACTGCCATATTATGGGCTTATGTGTTACATTTTTCAGAGAGCCCCAAGCACCCCCGCCCTACAAAATCATATCTGAAATTGTATATAACTTTTAATCTTGTTAGATTTATGAGTAATGAAACTGTATCCAGTTTAGGAAGATTGCTTCAAGATGTCTAACCAAATATGTCTTAATTTGGATATAGGGAGTATAAAGTTAGCCTGTAGTTCCAACTTAGTCTTAAGAGTAGCATTGCATGGTCCAAATGTTGTCAGCTATATCCACAGGATTGTTTCTAATTAATAATTAAACTAGCATGCATCTGCAGCAAGATAAAATAATATTACTTCAGTTAATATATAACTTAAAGATGTTTTTCTCCAGTTCCAGGTGTGGATTTTAGCATAAATCAATTTGTAAGAAATCTTGGACTTGAACATCTGATTGACATATTTGAGAGAGAACAAGTAAGTAATTGGCTTTGTTTTCATAATCAAAATAAACCATGGTGGCTTATTTAAACCATAACTGGTATACAATACAATTTCCATAATCATAACCTGGGTATCGCTTTTTTTGTTGTCCAAACTCAGGTGGAATGGCTTGCTGAAATGAGCAGCAACCCTTCAATACCTCTAGAACAGCTTGTGGGTTATTTGGAGATTTGTTTTCCTGTTCTCAACAAGCCATGTGCCTTTGTTTGAACAACATGATAAGCTGCTGTGATGATTATGGAAATACTGCCTAGCTTACACTACAGTTTCAATAAACTCGCTTGGATTGTGCAAACTGGCATGTTTATTTATTTAATTTCTATTTCTGAAGCTCTGTGGACAGTTCACACCTGCTTTTTATTTTGATCTGGTAATGTTAGAAGTTATATGTTTCTACGGTAATAAAACACAGAATTATACTTCTTTCCCCTTGGGAGAAGGTTTATAACCAAAGTGCTTTGAAGATTATTATGTTTTGAGATATCAGTACCTAAGTCGGTACAGATAAGCATATACTTATATCTATCTATCTATCTATCTTTGTTCAGTACAGAACTGCAAACTAATTCAGGGGCATGCAGTGGTTATGTGCCAATTTAACCAATATTCTCTGTTGGAAATAATTAGAAGAATTGTCTATCAACAAATTCATCTTAGATTAATCATTTAATAATGAAGTTAGTGATATGCGTAATCTTGAATTTAGGCCTGTTTTGTGAGAGAACTTGTTGGAAACAAAATGTGGTTTAAAATAGTATTGCTTTTTCACTGGGTAAAGAAGACTGTTCAAGAGTTTCCACACACTTGGCATTTTCAGTGGACCATCTTCTCATTCAAACAATTCAAGAGGCATCCTATAGCCAGATCTCTCAGGATGACATAAATAATTAAAATAAATTAGCAAAAACAATAATAAAATACATTATAGCATCACTTTTCTCTTGAACCCCTCCTCAACCTTGGGCAATTCAATGTAGTTCCCTCCCTTAATAGCTTTAGGATTTTCATGTTAAAGGTCTGTACGTTACGGTGGCTTGTATTGTTATATTTTCTTTGTAGATAACATTAGATGTATTGGTTGAAATGGGACACAAAGAATTAAAGGATATTGGAATTAATGCCTACGGCCATAGACACAAAATAATTAAGGGTGTTGAAAGACTAATCTCAGGACAGCAAGGTATGTTATAAACATTAGTATTTAAAAGTATTAAAATGAAATTAATATTCAAAAGTGTAATGCTTTTAAAAAGAAATGTCTGTCTTTTGCAAATTTTTGGATAAAGTTTTCATGTTTCTGGATAAGGTTTGCAAGCAATATATTAAATTTCTTTATTTTCAAGTAAAATCTAGAACAGCCTTCCTCCAACCTGGTGGACTTCAGAGGCATTTAGGCTGCAACTCCCAGAGGTCCCATCCAGCAGGGCCATTGACTGGGTATTCTGGGTGTTCAGCCCACACATGTTTGGAAGGCACAAGTTAGGGAAGGCTGTCTAGAAGAGATGGCAAAAGTGCTGCTCAAGATACATTTGGGGAGTTTATAAATACAGTCTTGTTTATTATTCAACATTTATTTCTCCCAGGAATTCAGGAGGTCAGCTAGCATTGTGGGAAGGCCCTTCCCTAGGGCCAGAAAGGCAAACTTTGCTCTGATCTTCTTGAAGGAGGCTGAGCTTTTCCCAAAGGTTTCCAGTTCAGTTTTATTTCTCAATTTCATTCAATCAAAACAACAACCTAAAGTTCATAAAAATATAAAATATTACAATTTTGTTAGGTGACATTTGAATAGATCAGTGATGGTAGATACAAATGTATATACCTATATATAGCATATACAGCAAGATCTGCTATTTGTATGCAATATTGTGCATAAGCATCAACAAAGACAGACCAAATATATATTTATCCATTCGTAGGTTATGTCTAATGACCACCCTTCAAAAGTTGAAAGCATCACCAATTTCTCATTCCAGTGCATTATCAGAAGTGGCCATTTGTTTTTCCATTATTGAAATACCAAATCATTTAGCTGTCATAAGGCATGGAAAAAAGGACTCACTAGGTAGCCCAAGAACTGGGTATTTACTATGGAAGAAGCATCCCATAACTGACCCAGCCCCACAGTCATCCATCACTATTGGCTCGATGTAAGAGCCAGACAGGACTGTTCTTTTGTTTGGGCTGTGTTGTCCTTTATTTGTTTGTAATGACACCTCCCACCTCCTTGAATGGTGTGCTTACTAGTCACCCATATGTGTGATGCACAGAGAATACAATGAAGAAAGACAGGTTTCATTCACACACCTCACCTGCCAACCCCACGTTGGTGTCAGTGGATATATATTTTTTCTCTCCTTTTACTTGCTATATAAATAGTAATAGGACAGTTAAGGACCTGAGGACATAGGGCAAGCGACAGTCTCCAGTTGTACTGAAAGGAACCCACCTATTTATGTAACGGGGAAAGGATGCAGGTCTCCTGCCAAAATGTCTAGGCTTAGCTAGAGGAATCTTCCCAAATGTGACAGTATGCAGGCACAGCACCCATATGTGTGAATGCACAGATGGCTGCTTCAAGAAAAACACTTACAGTTATGCAGTCTGCCTGTTCTCCTTCCCTTCAAACTATGTTGCCAGGGAGAAGGAGCTGAGATGTCAGCAGGGCCCTTGGCCTAAGCTGCAACTCAGAGAGGCCAGCCCTGACACCAAAGAATTCTCAGTACATCATGATAGTCTGCCTCCTCCTGCTCTATTGGAGGGAGAAAGGAAGACTTCCTGGATGTTTGGAGGCAGCTTTTATGTTGAGTCCTAGGGATAATGTAATATGTCTGCTCCTTGGAATTAAGCACCTAAGGATAGAATTGTTAAGATGTACCACGCAAGAGATTCCCTCCAAACACCTTAGGACTGTGGCACTGATACAGCACCTACTCTGTGATATGGTTCATAGAGAAGTTCCTGGAGAGTAGAAGGAGGCAGGCATCTTCTCAGTTTCCTTCATTATACTGAAGAAAAGTGAACTGCCTGAGGAAGCAGATCGTCAGAATGGAGATCCTCAGGTCTGTATGGGAGAAGTTTAAGAAGGCATATGTTCACTCACTATCTGGCCTTCCCACTGAAAGCACCTCCACTTATGAGAAGAAGCCCTGCCAGTTCAGAGCTCTCCCTTTGGGGTAGCCACAACCTCCCAGGTCTTCAGATCTGGCTGTCCCCAATAGAACATACATGGATGGAGGCTCCAGTTTACCCTACCTGAAAAACATCCTAATTTGCTCTCCCCTGTGAGGTAGACTCTTGAGACACAATGAAACCCTGATATTCTTGCATTTTGGGGCTTCCTGACCAAGAAGAGCTCTCACCAGTCTGGTTGTTTCACTGGGGGTAGACTCTGGATATGCTTGGAAGCATGATGACACTGTCCCCAGGTAGACCAACCTCAGTGAACTGGGTGGCACATTCATTCCTACCAAGAGAAATGTATAGAAGTTAGCAAAAATAATAGCAATTATTCTCTTCTGCCAGGCTTTCATGCAGTGGGCAAGATTCCACTCAAGGCCACTAGAAACCTGCTTCTTGAATTTTTAAACTGAAATTCAGCGCAGTAGTGGAACTCCTGGAGAAGTTCACTTGATTCTTGACCTGGTAGACCCACCGTATATACATTCTCCTGCCTAACTAGTTGAGTGGGTCTGTCAGAAGAAGCACACACAGGGCTACTACTTTTAGAAGGAATCTCAACTCAGCATCAGTTTCCTAAGAATTATCCTCCTAGCCCTCTGTCTCTTTACTCCAGTCTTTGAGGCCCAGGACATCTGGTCGAAACAGATAAGCATTGTCAACAAGCAGGGTCAAATGGGGTCCAAAGTTCTATAGAGAAATCTCATAGGTCTATTCAGGTGGGAACAGTCTCATGCCCATTCCACTAGGGAAGAACTCCTAAAAGGCATTATAAATCTCAGGATTGTTCAGTTCAGAAGGAGATCCCTGGACCTGTTACTCCAGTTAGATCTACCTTCTTTGACCACTTCACCACAGAATGCAAAATTTTGCACGTACACCCCCTGCCATCAATCAAGGAATGCTGAGTTCACAGATCCACTCAAGAGCCAGTAACTTCACAGGCATTTCTATGCTTTGTCCACCCTTCTCATAATCCTGATGGTAATTGAAAGGATAAAAGATCAATGGGTGGGTGGTTCTTGTGGCCCCCAGCTGCTGTATACTATAATGACCTGGTGAATCTTAAGTGATACAGACCAGTTGTCCTCAAGCCAGCAGGATCTCTGAAGCTAGGGCCAAAACAAGTATCAGCATATAGGCTTCCTGAAGCTAATTGTCTGGAAATTGAAGGTGGCCGGGGGGGGGGGGGGGGCTATGGCTATTCATCAGGGGTGAATTCTACCCTTCTAGCCGCCAGAAGAACCTAACCCTACATCAACAGAACCTATGAATATACATTATAGATGCTCTTCAGCTGGGCCTAGATCTCCTTCCTACTGGGAAGGAGCCAGTAGTTACAAAGGGGAAATCTTAGATATCCACCCTCCAAGAGGGTTTATCGTAAACCTTAAGCCCAACACCTTTAGAAGGCAGGTCTAGGTCCTATGCTCAGTCCTAGGGGACTTAAATTTGGAGTCTCACACATCAAAAATGTTCTCAGCTAGCTTGCCTGATCAGGTCCAGGTGTTCCTACCTAGAGCTTGGACATGGTGCTTACAGCACTGACCAAGGATCCCTTTCAAACACTGGGGCAGCCACTTTTGAGGTACTGTCCCTACAGTCCATTTTTAGTGGCCATCTTCTTCGCAAAGAAAGTTTCATAGCTGGGACCTTGTCCTCTGCAAATGGCCTTTGTTTCTTCCATGGGGAGAAAGTGGTCCACCCAAACCCATCCTTCATTCCCAATGCCAACTTCTACAGGGCACACAAGTTTATAATTCACTTTGACTTACAAGATAGACTGGATGGCCTTTGCAGGAAGGCACCTTCAGAGGAATGTGACTGCAGGAGTCTGTCCCCTGCTCCACTGGGTCAGTGCTTTTTTACATTCCTAATGCTAGTTGGTCTCCTGCCATCATGGGAAAAACAGAAATAAGCTAATAACAAATTTACAAACTTTTGTTTTATGCAAAACTATCAGTATCAAAGGACTGAGCAACTTTGATTTTAAAGAGGGTATTTTGCTCAAGTTTAGTGAATACACACATGCACTAGCTCCTTCTTATGTAGTCTTGGCCTTGGGAAATGTCCTGCAGAATAAAATTCAAGAAACATGAGACAGAAGAGATAGATTTTTCTTCTTTTGATGCTGTACCTGTAAAAGTGCATTTTCTGCTACTGTGATTTTTTAAAATTAATTTTGCATGTCTAAATTAATTTTAGACATGCAAAATAACTATAACTATACATGTCTGGCCTTCTGATAGCATTCTGCTTGGCCTCTTAGATACTCTAAAACTCCTCCACCTTTTTAAGGTGTCCATCCAAGATTGGGTAATAACAATAAGAATTAAAATCCTCATACTGAATTTTTTTATAGGTCTTAATTCCTATCTAACGTTGAATACTTCGGGTAGTGGAACAATCCTTATAGATCTCTCTCCTGATGATAAAGAGTTTCAGTCAGTAGAAGAAGAGGTACATCTTTTGATTCCTAGCTTCTGTAGAGAAATTAGTTTATGGGATTTATTTAGACTGCTGCTATGAAATGTAATTGAGATTTTCCATGGTACATAAGGTTTTAAATGGCTACTAGGGTAATATTTATTATTACTTCCCATAGCAGAGGTTGTATACCTCTGTGTTTCAGAAGAAGAAATTATAAATAAGGTGTTACTGTACTTGTGTCTTGCTTGTGGGCTCCCCATAGGCACCTGGTTAACTCTGGAAACAGAATACAGGACTAGATGAGCCACTTGATCTTATCTAACAAGGCACTTAAGTTTATGTTTTTGTCTGTGGCTGATTTAGTGTTAAACCCACAGTATTCTTCCAGTTGCAACTGTTTCTTTTGGTCTTAAATGCAGCCTTCAGTTGAAGAGACAATGGCATTAATTTTATACACCCAAAAATAGGCCCCTCCTGTCCCCTTCTTGCATGTGATCAAGCCAGGAAGCTGTAGAGCTTTCTGACCAAGCACAGTGTTCATGACTTCCAAGCAAGTCAGGATTTGGAAACAAAACTGTAAACCATGGTCTTCTATCCTGGCTTCTTTGGAACCCATGAGCCATAATTTCTACATGATCAAAGGTGACCTGTTAGCTGCACGATGTTCTGTACTCTTGATTCCAATGAACCCATGCCATCATGGCAAGAGGTCAAGAATGTTCAAATATGCAGTCCAAATAATCCGGATTGTCTACCCCTCTTAACCGGTGAGTTGGTTAGGGAAGGCCCTGCATAAGACTGGGTAAATACCCTATCTCAGCAGAACAGGAGAAGCAGCGGATTGGGTTCTCCTTTCAGCACCAGTAGGAGTCCAGCTCCACTGCACCATCCAGAGAACCATGTTGGTTCTTCAGAGAGCCAAAGAAACAGCAAGCGTGGAGGACACTGATGTGCCACAGTACAGGAGATAAGGTATTTGCAGGTTCCCAACTTTATTTTTTACTGGGTTCAATGTGTTTTGGGGAAAAAAGTTTTTCTCAAGTGCATTGAAGTTTTGAATCAGAGGAAGTATTCCAACTGGGAAAATATTCAGAGTCAGTTAGGTCTAATTCTGGTCTCTCAGGGAGTTCTTCCTCAGAGTAAGCACTGTCAGAGGAGTATCCCAGGAGATTGCCTGTACAGCAGAGAAAGAAGTGATAAATTATGTGGGGGTGGAAGATGTGACAGCAGCTTGCACTGACCCTGGAGCCAGTATACACAACCTACATCCCATGTGGAACATTTATTTATTTATAAATAACATTTGTATGCTGCCCACTGTGCCACAGCACCTCTATTATAGCTCTAAAGCAGTTGCTTGCCTTCTGAATTCAACTTATATTTGTGGTGGAAAGCATAAAATCCATTGTGGGTTCTGCATTGTGTTCAACAATAAAGTATACTTTATGCAGCAGAATGCACTCTAATGTCTTGATTTAGAAATTGTATATTCTGCTTAATCAGATGCAGAGTACTGTTCGAGAGCACAGAGATGGTGGGCATGCTGGTGGTGTTTTCAACAGATACAACATCTTAAAGGTAATTTGTAGGCATCCATCACATCCAAAGTTTATTAATTGTGCTCTCAATTATAAATAAATCACTTGACTCATGAATTAGTTGTCAGCCTGAAAAGGAGAGTAAGATTCTGTGCCATGCAAACAAATTCTGGATCCATACTAAATTAAACAAAGCTGCTCGAGCTCACCATATTTATTGAGCATTCCAGCTGTATTTCTTTGATACTTATCAAGAGAATCAATACATCTGCAGTTATTATTGTAATTAACTTCTGCACTTTATCAGCTTTTTTTGTGGGTTTGGTGTGGCCCTCTTTTTTGTTGTGAAGCTACAGTCTGAGAGATAACCTGTCCTTTCACATTTTACCGGCCTTTTTCTTAAAACAGTTTGTGGATGCTATTCTTCTCCAGCTCTTAAAATTCAAATTTAAAGAGATGTTTTAAAAACCAGAAATGCTATTTTGTGTAATTGTATTCATTCTGTCAACCTACTAAATATGCATATTGTATATCACAAAATGCTTGGAGGAATGTCATCCACAGGGTTGCAATGGGTCGGGCACGACTTCGCGACGTAACATATATCGCAAAATAAAGCATGTGAATGGAAAACCCTATGTTGCAGTTTTCTTTAAAAGCCCAGAATACATAAATGTGTCAGGGAAAAGCAGTGCATTTCATTCAAAGAGAAAAACATAATTCAAGAAAAATAGTGGTGAGAGTTGGAGCATGGTGTGAGGACAGTAATTAAGTTTTACAGTGACACATTTTTCAAATGCACATTGAAAAATTAAATGCACATTTTTCAAATAAAGTGCATTTAAATCTTGCTTGTTTTCCAGTCTGTTGAAAAACAAAGTAATTAACATGATTGATTCAAATGCAGATTAATTAAATAACTGTCGAACCACTCTAATAAGATTAATATAGATTTTAAGGTGACATTTTGAGGAAATGCTAGAATAAATATTTTTTTCCATTGGTATCAGGAACAGTTAAAAGTACCATCTTTTGTATTTTATATACATTTGAGTGAATAAAAAGATTTGTGATGTTGAATGCCAACTGTATAATACAGTAGCTGTCCAACAGTGAAAGAAAACTGATTGTGTGTTGTGATTTTTTCCCTTAGATACAAAAAGTGTGTAACAAAAAGCTGTGGGAAAAGTATACTCATAGGAGGAAAGAAGTTTCAGAAGAAAACCATCATCATGCTAATGAAAGAATGTTGTTTCACGGTATTGCTTCTTTTCCCATCTCAACTCTGATTTTAATGTTCTCTGAACTTTTTATTCTCAGATTTGAAGTAACTTTTAGTTCAGTTTCAAATAATGTTAACAGCCTTTAAGCTCATAACTTAAACCACATGGCAGTAACTGGCCAAGGAAGTTTATCCATAATTTGTATAGTTGGCACTAAGAAAGAGATGAACTAGAAACATAAAATATCTCAAAGTTGTATTGCATGCTAGCCCTCTTCTCAAATGAAATGGCTATTTTATAGGTATCCACTACATACGCAGAACAAAGGGAGGTTGAATTCCCATTGTGAGCTCACTTGGAAATGTAGTAAAGCAACTGTGAGTGTTCCATATGGGTTATATTGGTGAACCTCCATAATTTTTGCTAAGCTGGCAAAAGTGACTAGCCTGCAGAAAAGTGTACAAGTCTGCTAGAAGAGGACAGGGAGCTTTGGCCTTCTTCTAGCAGCCCACTTCATTTTTTATGTTGAATGCAGAAGATCAACAGCACCCTGTTCTTTCTTCGTGAGTCTGTGTACTTATCAGAATAAAATTCTATGTCACCTGTGACTATCTGGTATTTAAATACATCACTCTTGTGACATTTACACTGACCATTTCTTATGGACATGATAATAAAAAAAGATTTGTGTTTAGCCCTAATTCTCACCGACAACTGGAATAAAAGGAGAAATGATACGTAACCTGGACAGAAAAGTTACAGTTGAACTAAATATTTTATTTAAAAATAGAAACAGGTTTGTGATTAGAAAGTTGTGTCTTTTAAAATCTGTTTATAAAGAAATCAGAACTTCAATCAGTAGCTAAAACAAGGTTTTTTGTGAGGTGGCAGGGGATTTGTTTGTTTGTTGTTTTGTTTTGAAAAAGAAAATTATCCCAGGCAAAATCACTGCTTATGCCTTGGCTTTCTACATTAATTAAATTTTCATATGAACTTTAAACAGATTTATTATTATGTTTGTGTATTTATCATTCTCCAGTCTTCCATAAGGTCCAGGCAGCTTGAACATGCTGTATATTAATAAAAAAAATTTAAAACCCAAACTGTTAGTTTTGTTGGTACAGCCAGTCAAACACATCAGAGTCAGAAAATCCTTTGACAAAATATCCTAATATGTTGAAAAATACTAGCCCTGTGTGTTCCTCCACTCCACTGCCCAGTGCTTTGAAAGGGTACCAGTAGATCTGTGTGTACAATATACATCACAAGGACCACTTCTGTGATGACCCTGATTAGAAATCTAAGGAAGTTGACGGCCCATTTGAAGTTACTAGAGATTGAACTTGAGATCTTCTGCATCCTAAAACCTTTCTACTTGCTTTAGATGAGAAATCCATAGTTCCCAATCATAAAGGTTCCAATGTAGTGTGAAAAAAGATTTGACAGAAAAGCATGAGATTTTTATGCTAATAAAAATGGTTGTATCAGAAGAACATGCAAGGGTGATCAGCCAGAGGTCCTTATCAGTCATGTAAATTTCTCCAGAAGTCTCTAAAGTCGCAACATTTTAAACATCAATCAGCCTTGGATATATTTTGTCTCAAAACATTTCTGAGTGTTTTGAACTGTTTTCACTGATGACGGTGGTGCTGTATGAAACTAGATCTTGATTTTGCCTATTTAAGTGCCAAGCTGTGCTCACATCAGCACTATGCTGATGTGATTGCAGACCTAAAGCAAGCAAGCCTTGCCATGGTCCTGTGACAAAACAAGTCAAGGAACATGTGGGGTTTGTGCTAAAAAGGGTGTATCCAACATCTACAGATTCTTCTGATTCATTTTTTCATTTTTCTCAGTTTTTGTTCTTTGAATATTTGAAGTGAGTCAAAAAGATTATCTGATAAGTTTTTTCATTAAAATGTTTCAAACAATAATTACCTGGATAGTTAACACAAGTAGGTCCAGGAGATTGTCAGTGCCTCATTAAGAGACAGAGTGGTCCCTGCCCTTTTAAAGGAGGCAATAGTGAGACCACTCCTTAAAAGGCCAAGCCTGGATCCAGGAGTACTGGATAACTACTGGCCCATTTTTAATCTCCCTTTTTTGGGCAAGGTGTTGGCCAGGCAGCTGCAGGCACTCTTGGAGGAAACAGATTGTCTGGATCCATTTCAGTTGGGATGTAGGCCTGGATTTGGAATGGAGACAGCTTTGGTCGCCCTGTATGATGACCTATGCAGGGAGAGGGATGGGGAGTACAACCTCGTTAGTTCTCCTTGACCTCTCAGCCGCCTTTGACACTATCGACCATGATGTCCTTCTGGACAGGATGGCTGGGGTTGGGGTTGGAGGCACTGCTTTGCAGTGGTTCTGCTCCTACCTGGCTGTCCACAAGGTAGTTCTGGGAGACTGTTGCTCTGTGCCATGGCTGTTGCATCATGGGGTACTTCAGGGCTCAGTGCTATCCCCCACGCTTCTTAACATCTATATGAAGCCACTGGGAGAGGTCATCTGGAGGTTTGGGCTGAGGATTCAGCAATATGCTGATGATACTCAGCTCTGCCTCTCTTTTAGATCTCACCCAGGTGAAGCTGTCACTATCTTGAACCAGGGCCTGAGCATGATAATGGATGAGGGTCAGTAAACTGAGGCTCAATCCTGACAAGACAGAGGTGCTGCAAGTAGGGGGATCATCTGACAGGTTAGAGGGAATTACTCTGTCCCTTAGGGAGGGTCTGCAGTCTGGGGGTGCTCATGAACCCAGGTTTGTCTCTGGAATATCAGGTGAGCTCAGTGTCCAGGGGTGCTTTCCTCCAGCTACGGAGGATATACCACCTTCACCCCTACCTGGACAGACAGAGCCTGAAAACACTCACCCATACATAACATCCAAAATAGATTACTGCAGTGCACTCTACCTGGGGCTGCCCTTGAAGATGGTCCTGCAGTTACAATTGGTACAGAATAGGGCTGTTCGGTCGGTGACGAGAGCCCCTAGAGCAGCCCACATAACAGCTATACTGAAAGATCTTAATTGGTTACCAATTGTGGCCCAGGCCCAATTCAGGGTGCTTGTGTTGACAGATAATATCCCTAAACAGATTAGACCCTGGTTATCTTAGGGAGCACCTGCACCCATATGTGCCTACCCCGCCTTTGAGCTCTATGCAGGGGGCCCTCCTGTGTGAGTCATCCCTTAGGGAGGCGAGAGGGATGGCTGCTAGGAGGAGGGCCTTGTCTGCAGCTACTTCCCATATTGGAATGCTCTCCCCAAGGAGATTCGCCTGGCACCTTCCTTCCTTTTCGGCGCCAGGCAAAGACCTTCCTTTTTTAAAAAAATATTTTAATAACTAATGCAATAAGACCTTTTTTGTATTTTCTGATTGTATTATTTTATTTTTAATATGTTACTGGTTTTTAATCTTGTAATTGTGAGCCGGACAGAGGTACTGTGGCACAATTAGATGGCATACAAATGTTTTAAATAAATAAATTAGTGGTATGACAACATATTCAGTACTAATAATATAAAAAACCCATATGCATTTTTTCAATATACTTTCAGGCTCCCCTTTTGTGAATGCAATTATTCATAAAGGTTTTGATGAGAGACATGCTTACATAGGAGGAATGTTTGGTGCTGGAATTTACTTTGCTGAAAACTCTTCGAAAAGCAATCAGTATGTGTATGGTATTGGTGGTGGCACTGGTTGCCCAATTCACAAAGATAGATCTTGTTATGTCTGTCATAGGTAAGTTGCAGTAATTGTACTAATTGTCCTAAAATTAGTAAAAGTAGATTCCTTGTATTCTTACTTCTTACTTACAGCAAACTCAGTATTGTGTAAGAGGCTTTTGGATGGAATTTTGGATGGAAACTAGGGGCTTTAAGCGGATCTGAGATGGATGCAAAAACACTTTTTCAAGTAGCTTCTGTCCACACTCTAGACCCAGTCCATTGCTCAAAACATCAAGTTGGGGAAGGTTCTTTCCTTGCTTACCCCAAGTGTGCTGGCACAGCTATCGTAATGGCCAAATGAGAAAAAATAGTGTTGTACATATGCTGTGAAATAAAGACAAATTTCACAGTATTGGATGAGGAATCACGAACATCTTTGCTGTACAGCACTCTTTAATAACATGCTCAAATCACTATTTTGTTTTGTGGACAGAGTCCCTGGGTAAAGGGAAGAGAACCAAAAAAAAAATATTTGTGTTGTTGTAATAAGCTTAACTGGATGCAAAATATAAAGTAAATTAGCATATTAGGAAATTAATGGGAGGTTGCTTTTACACATTTATTAGTAAATATTCATACTTTCTTTAATATAGGCAGTTGCTGTTTTGCCGTGTTACATTGGGCAAATCTTTTCTTCAGTTCAGTGCAATGAAAATGGCCCATTCTCCTCCAGGACACCATTCAGTTACTGGACGACCTAGTGTTAATGGATTAGCATTAGCAGAATATGTCATCTACAGAGGAGAGCAGGTAGTAGTTTTGACCTTTTTTCCATTTTCCCACCAAATTTGAAACTTGCTCTGGAAAGCTCAGCTTCTCAGCCTTCAGCCCCACTGATTTCATTGGGGCTTATTCCAAGGCAAATGGATATAGGATTGCAGCCAGACTGTGAGAGAGTTCTTTGCTTAAAGTTGTTACTTGAGACATTTTACCTAATTTTTTTCTTCTGATAAATAATTATTCTTATAATCACATTTTAACACCATCTGTTTGGGTTAATTATTCCACATTTCCAATCTATCTTTCAGGCCTACCCAGAATATTTGATTACCTACCAGATTGTGAAGCCAGAAGTTACTACAGAAGCTTGAAATCCATATGTTTTGCTGAGATCTAAGTGAAGAGAGCTGAATTGCTGAAAACTTCTGTTAACTCCCCTCCCCCAGCATTGTGGTCGAAAATGTGAACGAAATCTAACATTTTGACTTGGTAAAGCTTTAATAAATGTATAATAGGTTTTCTAAAACTTTCAGAAACTTCCTTTTTCAGCACTTTAACAGATCTCATTCCAGGTGATACTGGGTTTGTCTGTACTAAATTATAAAGTAGATATTAACTTGAATTGTGTTTTCTAATTCCAGTGAAATCTAAGAAACTGTTGCTCTACAGGAACTCATTTTACTAATACAGCGTTCTTTAAACATTTACAGGAATTACAGTTGCATTTGTAAAACTGTAAATAAGAGCTTTTCTACTAGCTAGGTATTTATTTAAATTGTTTTTGTAATATAAGTGTTTCAGAATTGTAACATATGCAAAATTTCATTCAAACTGTGCATTACTCATCTGCATTCATCACATGCAGTAGTTTGGAGGACCCCATGTAATACATGTCAGTTTGAGAAGAAAAAGCATTCACTTGATTTTAGCATAGTAAGCAGTGTTTAGTGGAGGAGAATGTTACATTAGGTTTTGAATAAATCAGTCACATTCCTAAGAAACCAAGCAGAACATTCCAGTTGCTCAGCAGATCCACTAGAAATTAATATGTTACTGGAGTTGGGCAAGTAGGCTGGTTATAAGTATGATGCAGATAAACTTTTGAGTACACATTTCATATGAAGGCAATATATTTTATATATCCATGATTTCTCTCTTATCAGTACAGAGTTAAATACAGAGATGATAATGAGACCAGAGTTGAACTTGCTTTTAGATGTAGGGCTCTGTGAGTGAAGTCTATTTGGATTGCATCTTTTTACTTTTTGTTGGCTATGCTTTTCCTAGCTTTCTGTGAGCATTCACTGGTCTACATACTGTGTATGGTGACTGGGGTTTCTCCATGTGAAAGGCAGTGGAGGCAAAGGTTAGAAAAAGGAACAGCCATCTCTCTTGAAGGCACTAACAATGACTTCACACCCTCTCCCAATACTTGCTTTCATTATTCATTAAGTTCCTTCCATGATTACCCAACTGTTCTAGCTACTTTTTGTATAAATATAAATAACTGAAACGTTAACTGCAGGAGTCCAGTATTAAATTCTACATTTTAGTTGGGGTTCTTCAGTGTATATAGGACCATGGCCCATATTATAATTTAATGTGAATCATTACCGCACTATGGTTTAAGAAAGTGTGCCAAGATGGCTTGAACTGTCTGGCTTATATGGTGGTTTAGGACTTGAGTCTAAAAGAAATTGCATTCCACGTGAAGTTAGTGCATGGATAGGTATAAAATCATGTGGACAACATAGTACATAAGGTGAGCACCGCTGCAAGCAATACAGTCAAATAAAAGGGTTCCTGATTTGTATGGTACTTTTTCACTGCATGTTTTCCACTCACTAGTTTAGCTAAATGCCGGAACAGGTGTTCATGCAAGATTTGCTGATTGAGAACTTGTTTCATTACTAAAAATAGTTCATTCTTTGTGAATGATTAAATGTGATAAAATAATTGTGGTATTGGTAACATTTCAAATGGTACCATAAGGTTGGTTAGAATGTTTTAAATTTGCATGACATATCTATCTTTTTCTGAAGGTGGAAAACGTAATGGTTTTGATTGTGTTGATTTCAAGTGAAATTCTAGCCTCCTGTGCAATTAGTGCTTTACTCATATTGAAAGTATTTAACTGTATTTGTACCACTTTCCATAACATTCAGTCCTAAATAAACTTCATTCACAAGCTTTTTGGTTAGCATGGTGGTATCATTGCAAATTCACATCCCTTAGTGAGGTTAAATTATGCAGCTGTTCATACTTGCATATTCATCTTCAAGTGGGTATACTGCCATGTTTTAATTTCAGACATGGTTCACCTTTTCTCTGAGTAGTTTAGGGCTGGAATTGCACAAGCCTTAGGTATGTTGGGCTCCAACTTAGTATTTAGGCCTTAAGTGTATAAAACAGGTTGTATCTAAACCCTGTATATGGATGACATTTTTTCAAGGAACTTGCTGCACCTTGAATTTTACTTTTTCCTTGTAACTATTCTCACAGATGTATTTTGAATGGTGCTTAAACAAATATTGCTTACTAGCATTCCTGCAAATTACCTTGCTTTGGTTATAGTTCATTCACCTGCAGGGAAGAGGTCCAAAGCTTACGGATTGTACATCTTTTTTGCACTAGGGGGCACCAAATACCAACTTGTTAAATGTTTTGGTTCTTGATTTAGGGTATTTTGCCTTGGCTTAAAAAGTCATTAAATATATTAGAGAACTAGATAGGAAATGAACGAATAGATTGATTTCATGCATATGTAGAAATGAATCAGCCTTTGCTGAAAAGAAGTTTTTTGTGTAACCTACACATATGCATATAATATTTTCCTAATAACAGCAACTGGAAGTTGCAGGAGAAGGTATAGGAGAGATATTTTTATTCCTGCCACTAGTTTTTTACTATTGTGAAAAATGTCATTTGAGGGAAATTATTTTGAAAAGAAAAGTGATTGTTTAAGAAAAGGCCTAAGCAGAGAGACTGGTGAACAAACAATGGAAATACACAATGAGCATATGCCTAATGCATGTTTAATTTACTTTTACCTTCTTACATATTCAGTATACTTTCATATGTTTCCCTTAATATGTTGAAAGTAGAGTTATAAGGGCATCCTTTGTTGCTGTTTTTTCCGATGGACAGTCCTCCATACATGCGTTAGAAGTTGTAAATTGAACAAATTTATCAAGAAAATTAAACTTCTTGAGTCTGCCTCAGGAACAAGGAAATCTTACACTGTTTTGCATGTGAAGTTTGTTTACACAGCATTATTTTCCACCCTGGCACTGCCCCTTTTTCTTTATGTTTAAACACTCCTTGCCCATTTACTTTCCTTCAGTTCTGATAGCAGTTTCCAGCAGCTGTTTTTTGTTTGCCTAATTCTGTATTTTTCAAACAAAGTTTTAACTCCATCAGTTTGGCCCTCAATATTCTAACAAAAATGACTATTTATTTTGAAATTATGTGGCAACATGTGTTGTCTATAAACCCCTTATTAAACACAAGATATACAGGCAGTCCCTGGTTTATGAACAAATTTCCATTCCTGAGAAAATGAAAATTACATGCCCTTTCTCCAGCACCCCAGACCTAACTCCATGATTGTGGAGACCATGCAGAGGACTTTCCAGTAGCAACACCCTGTCCCCATCAACTGAGAGAGAGCTGGTGTCTCAGTAACCTTGCCTCCTCACTAGGACTCTGCATTTCCAGCTAGGAAGCAACCATGGTCTGCCACCAAATCTTTCTCTGGGAGAAAATGGGAACCATGCCTGTGTACCTCCCAGAATTCTTCTGGGAGGCTCCATGCATTGTCCACTTAAGGAAAAACAGCAAATTGAGGTCACCTGGCACCACAGAGACTGCAGTGTGAAGGCCATGATGGGGACAGTGGCCATCCATCATCATGCCTGGTTGTACCTGGCAGGCCTAAGCAGGAGACCCACATAGGCATTGAGGACCTTCCCTTTGACAGGGAAGGATTCTTCAATGTGCTCACAAAAGGTGTGCTCCTTTGCCCAGAGGATGGACTTCAAACAACAGACAGTGTAAATGGGCAAGGGACCCATTCAGCACCCACAGGCACTCTTACACTGACTGCCTCTTTAGGGCACAGCCTGCTCACCCCCTACAAGAGACATGACTTCCAGACCTGCTCCAAAGTACCACCAAAACTCCCAGAAGTCACTAGGTGTCATTAATAGTTCCCCCGGTGGCCTCCATTCCCCCCTCCTCCCAACAACTTTGATCAACATCTTGCCCAGTTCCTCACATGGGAAGTAATCGCATCAGACTTGGTTTTTGTCCATCATGGAACAGGATCAAATTTGATACCCTGCCACCCCTTGACCCAGTCAGGACCACCCCAGCCAACACTGCTGTCAGAGGTAGAGGTCCTCATCTCCAAAGGAGCCATAGAGGGTCCAACATGGCCATGACAGAGAGTTCTACTCTCACTATTTCACAGTTCTGAAATGGGATGGAGGACTCAGTCCAATCCTTCACCTCAGAGGTGTCAACAAGTTCATTACAGTCAGAAAGTTCAGAATGAGCTCCCTGCTGAACATCTTCCCTTTACTCCGCCAGGGAGACTGGTTTGATTCCACTGACTTCAAAGACACCCATTTCCACATCAACTATGCCTATAGACATTTCCTTCACTTCCAGACCAGGGAAGAAACCTGCCAATTCTCTGTTACCCAGTTTGGCTTTTTCATCACCCCTAGGGTCTTCACCAAGTGCACGGAAGTGGTTTGTGCCCAGCTCCAGGGAATCCAGGTCTTCCCATATCTCAACAACTGGCTCCTGGTCACCACTGTAGACAGAACTCCTACACTTCATGCACACCACCTGCTCACTTCTACAGGGCCTGGGACCACTTATCAATTATGGCGAATCTGTTCTTCCTCCCTCCCAGTCCATCCTGTTTATAGGGGCCTGCCTGGACTCAATGATTGCCAGAGCCCTTCTGCCAAAACCAAGAGCAGCAGCACTGCACACTAGCCATGGATGTCAGGACATGGGACCACACCACAGCTCATGCCATCCAGAAGCCCCTGGGTTGCATGGCCGCCACTGTAACAGTTTGCCCAACTTCGCGTGAGACCACTGCAACTGTGGCTCACTCATGCCTTCAGTGTGGAGGGAGAGGCCCACAACATCACCTTGAACGCACCACATTCTGTCTGAGACAGACTGCTCTGGTGTTTCTCCCCACATAATCTGACCAGGGGAGCCAATTTTCTTTACACAGAGCCTTCAGTCACCATCACTACAGACACCCCCAGTATGAATTGGGGAGCTCGTTGCAACCACCTGCACACACATGGATCCTGGAATCAGCATGAGGTGAGGTTCCACATCAACATTCTTGGATGTGCTGGCTGTCCACAAGGTAATGATCTTCCAAATCTCTCGGGCCAACACATGCAGGTTACAATGAACAATACAACACTGACATATTACCTCAACAAACGGAGGCACACAGTCCATCCCACTCACCACCCTGGCCATCACCATCTGGGACTGGTGCATTTCCAGGGACATTGCCATCTCATCACTCCATATCATGGGCAAGCTCAACACTGACTGATGCCCTAAGCCACACTTAGACACTCATGAGTGGCAGCTCAATCAAGCCCACTTACATCTCCACAACAGATGGGGCCCACCAGAGGTGGATCGTTTTGCCATGGCACAGAACACTACTTGCCCTCAATTCTGCTCCAGGGCAGGTAAGGGACTGGATCCCTGGAGGATGTGCTCCTCCCCAAATGGGACTGGACCCTATTTTATGCCTTTCTCCCATTCCCACTTATCACCAAGGGGATCACCAAGATCCAGAGGAACAGACAGACTGCATTCTCATTACCCATTTGTGACCAAGACTGCCACAGCTCCCCTAATTCCTTCAGCTCTCCCAGGGGAACTTCATCTAGCTCCCACAATACCATGATCTCCTCTTGCAGGACTGGGGTCACATTCTCCACCTGGACATCAAAATGCTGAATCTGACAACTTGGAGAATCACTCCAGAACACACAGACCCACCCCCTGCCATCAGCAGCATCCACCATACTAGAGGTAGCCCTCAAGCAATCCACAAGGAAGTTCTGCCTTGCCAAGTGAAATTCCTTTAGAGCCTTCACCCACTGTGAGGGCTCATCTCTAAGAGCACCTCCATCACATTCCTTCAAAGCCACTTCCATGGCAGTCTCCACCCATCATCAATACACATCTACCTGGTGGCTATCTTGTCCTTTCACCTGCTAATCAAGGAGGCCTCCATCTTCATGCACACATTAGCATGCAGGTTCCTGGGAGGCCTCAACCAAAAGGCCCGTAGAGTCCCTTGCCATGATACACCTGTGTCTCCTGTTCTGGAAGATGAGAAAGATGGTCTTCCTCATAGCCATCACATCAGCCTGCCATGCCAGCAAGCTCTCTGCACTCTGAGTGGACACTTCTTACTTAACCTTCCACAAGGCTAAGGCCATCCTTCACCCTGACCTAACCTTCAGGCCCAGGGTCACCACCTCCTTCCACATCCAGCAGGCATTGTCCTCCCAGCCTTCTTTGCCAACCCATCCACTCCTATAGGGACCACCCTCCACTTACTCAACATCAGGAGGGCCCTCACTTCTACAAGTCAGGAACAGAGAATATCCAAGTAGGTCCCCAGCACCATCAGCCTTGCATACAAAATGGCACGCCTCCACCTTGCAACATGCCCATGGGCTCACTCCACAAATCCCAAGACCACGTTCACAGCCTTCCTGGCGGGAGTCCCCCTGCAGGACATCTGCACATGGTGTACACGATTGACATTTGTGAGACACTACAGGCTAGATGTCCATGCAAAGGAAGGCTGCACCTTTGGCAGAGCAGTGTTCTCTATTCTCAAGTGATTACAGCCTCCCTCCATCCTACACAGAATAAACTTACTAGTCACGCATGTGTGTGATGCACAGACACCACGAAGAAGAAAGGGAGGTTGCTTACCTGTAACTGTCCATCTTCCAGTGGTCATCTCTGCATTTACACAACCCACCCTCAAGCCCTACTGGCCGTTGTCTACCAACATTGTCCTTCCTGCTCTTGGATACTGGGGCTGGACTGGGTTGGCACCTCTCTTTTACCTATTCCTCAATCTGGGGATTCATGATTGTCTCCATAGCAACTAAATGAAT